GCATGTGCAAATTCCTGAGAACCCAAATTGTTAAGCCTGCTTTTGTTTTGGCAGCCTAGCCCAAATCCAAGATGTTCTTCTTTGATCGTTGTTCATTAAGGATGGTCTTGGCCACCATGCTGAATATCAGGGAAGATCATTGTTTCCTGATGATCGGGATAGTATGTAGCAGCTTTGTGGCTATCAGCTCTGGCACCCATAAGCGGCGTCCCTTTGCACCACTAGGAGATCAATCTATCTCCATGGTACGTTCTGGAAACCTCTTCATGAGCAGGACCTTATTAGAAGGCTTTGCAAAAGCAAACAAAAGAAATACCCTGAAAAAAACACACTACCCCAGCCAAGGTAACTTTTTTGATTTCTAGAACCAACCCTTTCTTTCCATGCTCTCCAGGACAGCTCTGGCCTTGGCTATCGCCGTTGCTATGGGGGCTGCATGGCTTTTGGAGCAGCCAGCCTCTTCCACGCTTTGCTGGCACCCCCGTTTTTGATATGTGGTGAAGCATTTTGGCAAGGTGGGGTGTGGGAGAGCGTCCCACCAAGACTCTTATCTTCTTTTCCAGTTTGCGCAGGTCTACCGGGTCAATTGGTGGATGCAATTATTTGGGAGCGCATCACCAAAAAGGTTGGTGGGCTATTCAAATGCCAGAACTGTGGCAACCCTGGATCTTGGCGTGTTGAAGAAGAAGAAATTGGGAACCCCTTCAAAGACTACCAAAGTCTACATCAACAAGCGAGGGGAGAAACGCTTTTGTGGGACAAAAGCACTGAAATCAACAGAGCAGTTGCCTTAGCTGTATTGTTGAGACTGGAATTCATAGCATGCCTGTGCATAAACATTGAGAATCGCACTTAGGCATTATCCACCACGATTTGGAATGCATCTAGCGCATCATTGGTCCCAGTTTTGCACTGAAAGAGAGGTGCCAAATGTGGAGGTCAGCTACCAAAACGGTCAGCAGCTGGTTGAGTGGTTTTCGGCCCTACCATGGGGGGATACATGGGAAGATGCTGGGATGCTAGAGCTCCTGGTCTATTTGTATGGCAATTCTCATATGCATATGCCTAGGGCGTGGAAGAATGCCATCAACCCCTGGGTCCATTGAGGCTCTTTGAGGCCTATCATGTTCCTTCTGGATCGTTAGGCTACAGCTCCTAAATTCGTGGCAGTGGCACCTATTCCCATCGCCACGGAGAAGCTTTACAGGGCAATTCCATTCATGGAAAAGGAACTCTAGCACTTGTGTACTTGCAAATTGGAAGGTATAAGGTAGATTTCTTGTACTGCTTTGATGGAGTCTGGAATACGTATTTTACACGTAAAAAATACGTAAAATATGATCAAAAAAACGTAATCCGTAGGATGACCATAAATCCTCGTAAGATCATCGTAAATCATCGTAAATGATACGTACTTATTCCGTAATTCTCCTGTTTTTTTGACATCCCTGCAACATCAGAGTTTTCAAGACTCTTTTGACCAACAGTGTTTGCGTTGATGCTGTCACGCATGTATCCACTAGAATGTCTCTTTGCCAAAGAGATATTCTATCCAGCCTGGATGTCCATCGTTGCGTGTACATAGCAGCATTGTGGCTCCTTTGCTGGTATCACGGTATCACACGAAACGATACCAGCTTCATGGGAAAGAAGGCGGAGGTTCCAGCATGTGGGAAACCTCAGGCCTTAAAATCAAGGCAGTGGAGTTGTTCAGAACTTGGTGAGGGTTCAACGCGCCTTGTGGAATCCAAGAAGGAAGTCGATGACGATGCAGCGAAGCGAATCGAGGCAGTAGAGTTGGGGGTCAATATGGGTCGGTCCACAAAAGGTCAACAATAGAATCTGTGGTATCCTTACTGGCATTAAGCTCTTTTTTTGTGATGGTTGTGTTTGTTCTTGATGTGAGGGTTTGCCCTGAAGGAACTTACCAAAGAATTGGCGATGCTGACAGGTAAGAAGGCCTCCCTGCATGTTTAATCATACATTTCCATGGAAGGTTGGTGCACGGTCGGTACATGGTCAGGATGGAAAAAAACACACCTGCCAAAGAAAATGCAAGGGTTAGCACCACTTCGTGCAGGTTGACTCAGAGTTGTTTTGTTTAGAGTTGCAGGCAGCTGCTACACCCGTGGAGCCTTCTGCGACTTCTGCTGAGACAGAAGAGCAAGAGACTCCCAGCACAAGACCCACTGCTGCGAAAGCAAAATCTCAGCCTAAATGCAAAGCTACCCCAAAGACCAAAGCTGTTGCCAAATCCTCCCCCAAAAAACCTCCAACCAAACGAGATGATCTGACTCCTGCTGCGGTCGTATCGCCAGAGACAGCGGCTTTGGCAGAGCCTGTCAAGCGCCGTGCAGTGGGCAAGACGCCAGGTGATGCAGAGGCACTTCGAGAGGCACTTCATAATCCATGCATGCATGGCCCGGCTCATGTTCTTTTTAGCTATTCCTCACGTTGACTGCAGTTTTCATGTTAGCTGATCTATAGATCTATGGGGCCAATGGTTTTGGGTGAGGCAAACCAAAAGCTAAAGGAGGAGCTTGAGACTATCAAAAGGAGATTGTCTTTTGGCGGTGACCCACATTCCACTCCCAGATCGAGTGCTACAACTTCTGCCTCAAAGGATGTCGAAGGTCCCAAAAAGAGCGCCTCAGAGGCTAGGGTTGTGCAGTTATTTTGGGCAACTTCTGATGCAAAGGTCCCTTTAGGTTACAGTAACTAGCGATACCTCCAAACATCTCCAAACATTCATTTGCTAGGAGGCAGTGGCGGCCAGGTTGCGACGGCTATGTGAACAAAAGCCTTCAGGGCGGTGCCATGTCCCTAAAGAAATTCATGATCTTTGGAAGCGACCCGGAGCTGAAAGGGATGCCCTGATCAAGATCTTTTGTGAGGTCAACGAAGACAAGGCCCACTCAAATGTAGCAGTTTCTGTTCCAACAATTCAACCCACGATGCAATTCTACAGCTCTAGTGCAACTTCCACCACCAATCCATAGATCTGCAACCCTGGGGAAACTGAATGCCAGGAAGCCTTTATCAGCAAGGTCAAGAAGACTAGGCTCACGTTGAAGCGCACGGCCAACAAGCTAAAGAGGGGCTGGTTCAACAAAGAAGGTATGGCCAAGAAGCTTTTGTGGAGCAAGTAGGTGCCCCAGACCCTTTGATTTTGTTTTAACCATTGTTCCTTGCCCCAAGCCCGCAACACTAGGTCCTACATCGGCAAGGCCGTGAAGCACTGTGAAAAGCATGGTTTGGTGAAGAATTCTAGCTGTTAATAAATGTGTGTTGCAACATTGGAAAACCTGCCTTCAAAACCATAAAGCTCATAATCGTGCACCCCAGGAAAGACAAGTATGATGGGAAAAAATACTACGTTGAGTTCGAGGATGAGGATGAACTCTTGCACCAAGAAGATGAAATCGAAGAAGAGTATCAACAAGCGGATCGAGTCCCTAGTATATGTCGACCATTGGATTAGTATCCACCTTGCTTTTTGCATGATTGTTTTTCTGCTTGCCACCTCTCACGCCCAGGCTGCTGGATCCGCTTCCATTGAGGGCCCTGGCCGCATGTCGTCTCGTCCAGACATGCCTGACACATCGGATGAGGAGGAGGGTGAGGGAAAGGTCAAAAAAGGGAAGGGTGGCAAGGATGCTGACGACCTTAAGTCTGCAGCAGAGGTGGGTCCATGTTTTGCCACTGATTCTTACCTGTTATTTTAAATTGTTTTTGGTATACAATGTGCAGGTCTACAAGTCTTTGGTCAAGTTCGGGGACAGTTTGCTGACAAAGTCAAACAAATTGGAAGACCTTTTGGCGGAGATTGAGGGTGCGGCTGTTGAGGGAGGTGCCCAACCTCACGCCAAAGTCAAAAAGCTCCCAAGTTGCATGTAATCCCAGCAAGAACTTTTGGTTACAATAGCATGTTTGCGGTGTTTTCCAAAAGGTGTATGGAGACCTTGGAGCAAGCGGTGAAGATCCTCCAAGAGGAGTTTGAATCGGTTGAGGCGAAGAAGGCTGAGACAAAACCTTTGCTCAAGAAGAATTTGGCTGACGACAAAAAAGATCAGTCTATATCCCAGTGGATGTTTTTCCTCTTTCCAGGCTCAATTTCAATGGTTGTCACCAAATGACAGCCCAGGTTGGTTGAGGCGGTCGACTCGCAAATTTCCACAACGACTGCTCGGTCACTAGCCAGAGCATCTATATTCATTGCAAACTAACTTGCTACTACCTTAGCTCAGGTGCAGCAAAGTTGTCACGGCTGAGACGGCAGCAAGGTCGATCAGTTACAATATGTTCTAATAGCAGTTGCAAGAACTTATGAACCTTTGCAATAGCATCTGTGTGCTTGAAGTTTCCATTTTTTATCGTTTTATGATCTTTGGCATTTTTCCCAGGAATTTGCTGAAGAACATAGACTCTTACCGCAAGTCCTCATGAAGGGCCAATTTTTGTGAGAGCAGTGGCGATGGGGCAAATTGCCACTCTCGGGAAGCAGCATGTGAGAACACATGCCGGCACAAAGTTCAGTAGATCAAAACCGCAGAGTTGTTTTTCACAGCTTCTTCAACCCAAAGCCTGTGAGAAAAGGAAACAATGTATGCAGTATGCATCTCCCATGGTGTATTTCAAACTCTATTTTTCCTTTGGGGGGTAGTCATGCACACGATGCCCACCAGCTGCATTGCCAGGTCCACAGCCTGGAGCTCTTCTCCATGATCTAGCTGTCAAGATCGCCAATGGTGCACCTCGATCGATCTAAAGGCCACGAAACACTTTTGTAGGTTACTTTTCTTGTTAAACTAAACAATCAGGACATATCAGGAAGAATTAGTGCAGCCTATGCATCTGAGGTACCGTGTTCTCATGCTGTACAAACTGCAAAAGCTACAGTACGAGATTGCTCAGATGTTCCACGAGACATTCGTGAGTTTGCAAAGATTCGTGAAAAGGATGCAGAAGAACAAGTTCATCGTTTTTTGAGGGAGTACAATATGACAGCTCCTGTAGAGATTGAAAAGGTTGACTTGGGCGCTCCTGGTCTCTTGGAATTCCCCTTCGTGAGATTTTCTTCGTGGTTGCGATACCTCATGGACACAAACAGGTTTAGCCAAATCTGTGGGGTAAAGAGTTTGCCTGACATGATGGAAACTTTGCGAGAGTTTTGGGTGCGATTTGAAAAGATCCATCCAACACATCAAATCTTTCAGCGCTTCAGAGACGGCTCTGTCATTCCATCTTTGTGCCTCCCAGTGTACAGTCATACGGATGAGGGCCGCACCTACCAGAAGCAGGGCATCCTCGTGGTATCCACACATGGGGCCTTGGGTCGAGGCACTCGTGGGTATATCAAAAGACTGGGTGTGAGAAAAGGTCATCTGAAACAGTCTGGCATGGGAATGAATTTCACTGGACGTTCGCTCAGTACACAGTTTTTGTTTGCAACTATGCTGAGAAGTGCATACAGTGAGAATGAAGAGATCTTCAACAAATTGATGGGTGTGTACGCTAGTGATATGCATGATTTAGTTGAGCATGGAGTATGGAATTCTTCAAGGACATGCCGCCTTTGGTGCCTACATATTGGCACCAAAGGCGACTTGCCTGCGCTGGTCAAATGCGGGCTCCTGCAAAGGAGTTTCAGAAATGTCCCCAAGGCCCCCAACTCTGTCTCATTTTGTGGGGGGATATGCCACTTGTGCTTAGCCGGCAGAGAGCGGCCTGTTCACTATCCATTTGAAGACCTCAAGGCTTCTGCAAGTTGTTTGGCAACCAAGTTTGTGGAGAAACCATGGCCAGTGCCAGGGTTACCATTACTTCTTCACAACCTTCCACTGGAAGTTGGGAAAGAAGAAGCTTTTTTCAAACCAGACCTTTGGCACAACTGGCACGCTGGTGTGGGAAAGCTGTGGATAGGGGGATGTCTTGTGATCTTGAGCGAATCCTGCATTCCTGGGAGCTCTGTTGAAAACAAGCTTGGCTGGCTCACACATGATTGGCGGACTTGGTGCAAGAATCATCGCTTGGCTCCTTTTGTTACCAAAATAGATCGGGCAACCCTTTCCTACACTACCTCCAAGAGCTGGCCTGAGGGTCACTGGTCGAAAGGCCAGGCAACAACACACCTCATGATGTACCTGCAGGACCTTTGCGCTCGAAAGGTGGAAAACCAAACTGATGATCCACTACTGCATTCGATTGCTCCTGGTCTTTCGTGTTGAGTATGTTTTTGATTGTGCTGGTTCCTTTCTTGACTCTTGATGTTTTTGACCCCCCTTGGGATTTACCATTTGAGGTTCATGGGACGAAATGCATGAACCTGTTCTTGGCAGAGCTCTATGTGCAGGGCTATTGGATTCCAAGTCCTTTGGCCAGGAAGATTGCAGCGCTGGGATTCCAATTTTGTGAGACCTATGAGAGATGCGCGTCTTTATGTCATGAACGCCATCAGAATCGTTTTCCGTTGCACCCGAAGTGTCACATGTTGTTACATCATGCACATCAGTTGATGGACGATGCTCGTTGTGGCGACTGGGCAGTGAACCCTCTTGCTGAATCAAACCAAATGCAAGAGGACTACATTGGCCGCCCCAGCCGCATTTCGCGGCGGGTGGCGAAACGGACAATTCACTTGAGGGCTTTGCAACGGACGATCCTGGCAACCTACCAGGCGTTGCAAAAGTCTGATGATGACACTCGAGGCCTCTAGGTCTCTAGTAAAAATGAGTTGGACGCTGTCTGGGGTCCGGGCTGGGTTTGGCAAGAATCGGATCGCCCCTCCCAATTGGAGCCGAAACAGGGCCTGCGAGGTACCCTTGTTGGTCCTGGATTGGTTGGTACCAAGTTCCCCTAAGCTAGAGCATACTGGTCTCAAGCCCAAACCAATGAGATTTCTGCTCCAACCTCAAGTTCTTAAGCAACCTCAAGAATACGTATTCCATAGGAAAAAGCTGCTTTTTTCTCCAATGACCGTATTTGTGGGGCAATCCTCGCTTTTGGATGGCAGAAAGGGGCATCATGAAAAAAAGTAAACATCAGCGGCTCAAGGTATATATAACGTTGATTTATCTTGATTTGCTCCTCCAAAACATAGCGAGGTTCATGGTCTCGGGACCATCCAACACTTCTTTACAGATCAAACGCCAACGAGGCTCCGATCAGAAAAAGGGTGCAAGAACAGTACAATGCAGTGTTTTGAAAGACACCAAGAACATGTAAAGTGTTGTTATGTTGAAGCCTTGATTCAAAGTTTGGCTAGGTGAGGGGAGCTGGTCTTGCCACATGTTCCATGGGGACCCTCTCTTTCCCAAAGAATCTGAAGGTACCCTCAGTCAAGGCTGCAAGGCACAGGTTGATATGTTCACATGACCGAATTCTGCATCTTTGCACCTGCTGGGTGCTCAAAGCCTCGTGGAAAAGAAAAACCTTCCACCACCACCTCCATCCTCCATCCTTCCACCCTTCCACCTTCCACATCCTTCCCCCTTCCATCCACCCATCCACCTCTCCATCCATCCACCTCAGAGCAGAGCACCTCCCTAGCTCATCCGCCCGAGCAGCATGAAGTAACTGTTCGCTTCAATGGCGTGATGTACTGCTGGCTCGGCGTGCGCACTTTGCGGATCCAAGAAGTAGTACATCTCCTCGGGCAGCTGCACAGCTGTGCAGCTGTGATCAGCAGCATGTGCTTAGCTGAATTTGTGCAACGTTGCAAGTTGGGCAACCTCTTGGCCACCCCCAACAAAAGGAATGAACTCCTATGAAATCCTGATTGTGTGATCCCAAGTTCCAGGATGGTTTCACAAGATCCACTTTTGCTGATAGCATGATAGTAAGTTTGACCCTCACAGTCCCCACATCCCTTCTTGACCTGTGGGCATCTTTGGGCCTTCGCTCCTTTGACCAGTTTAACTTCAGTGATTCAGCACATCAGCGAAGGCATCTCAGCACATTCAACAAAGTAGATGTCTCAGATCAAACCCAAGTCAAACAATATTTTAAACATCCAGCATGTTGACCACCAAACCATGAGCTTCGAAAGGATGCTATATGATGAATTCTTGGATGGAAATTGATTAAACGTCGCGAACCAACCATTTCTTGGAGACCTTGATGCCATTTGAAACGTTCAAAGAGGGTCCTTCCGTTTGAACTTAGTAACTTGGCGGGACTTCGCGCGACCCTCTTGACAAATCCTCTGTGTTGGATCGTGGATGCGACATCCCAAGTGAACACAAAGGCAGTTTCAAAGAGCTTCGGCATATGCCGCGCCGACGATGGTGTCTCATTGGGTCCTGGGTAGTTCCTTCCAACTCAAGTGGTACTTTGCAGCTCTGGGGACGTAGTTCAATATAAACCTAAGTACTCTGGGGTACTCTGGGGATGCTCTTTGCAGCTCTGGTTCCAGTTCCTCTTTAAACCACATTACTTAAAGCGGCACGGAGCTGAAGAAGCGGTCTATACCGCCCACACGCAGCGACCACGCCACCAGCGCACGGCACGCACACGCAGCGACCACAAACGGCCAGGACGCTGGGTGAAACTGCGCCGCAAAAATCGGAAGCGTCTGGTGCTCCATGAGCGACGCGAAGACCTGTGCGGCGAACGACGGCGTGAAGAGGAGGACGAATGGGTGGGACGAACGAGGCGGAGGCCATCCGGGTGAAGGGAACTGGAACACAAAGAAAGGTCAAAGCAAGTGTTTCAGCCTGTTGGAGTCAGTCCAACTGCAATTATCCTATAAATGTTCACTTCATAAAGGTACATAAAGAGCTGCAATACTTGAGCCGATGGTCCCGATCTTCAACGGACGGGACATGGCCCCCTACATGCTGATGTATAATTATATGCTGATACCAAAAACAAATATTGAAACAACACATCGGACAATGGCTCCAATGATATCTATTCGGACGCCCAGCTAAGTGTACAGGGACTGTAGGTAGTCCAGCCAGGGTAGTCCAAACAGGATGGTATTTGACATGTGCTACTGGGTAGTCCAGCCACGATACCCAATCAAGATGGTCCTGGTCTGCTCTTGAGATATCTTGAGATGGACGGTGCTACCCTCGACGCCTGGCCATGCGCGTCCACATCGGTCGCAAGCACCTGGCGGTCGCCACGCCACGACGTGCGTCGCAAGCGCGAGCGCTTACGCTCGTGGTCTTTTGAAGCACAAAGAAAGACATCTCTCTAACGGCGTAAAGCAAGTGGTCCATATCAACAAACAAATTCTCAATTGATTCTCATCCATTCAGGCCTCATGTTGGGCTGATGCTTTGGGTTTGATATGGTTTGATCATGAAGTTGGATCAGCATCTAATTTCAGAAGCAGAACCGAACCGATTGCCACAGAAAATCGTCAGGCTCCAGCTCGAGGCTTGACCCGAAATCGAGGCTCTTGTGCACAAACCATGTGAGCTCTGCAAAAGACGTATGACTAAGCCCATTATGTCGCATAACTTTCATCTTGGGAGGTCTATTGCGGTGCTCAATTGTCATGACATTAACCATCTTCGCAAAGCAATAAGGGATGTCCTTAGATTCCCTGCTAAGGAAGCTAACCTGGAAGAGTGCCTTGGTAGTAAAGACGACAAATCCATATCCCAATCACTCCATGTCTGTCAACACACACTCTATACCGCCGATCCCTTCCAGGAGCGTGACCCGCATCTCCGCCGGACCCGGATGCTAAGAACCGCGCTTCCGGGACTTCATAGCCCACAGAGTCTTACCAACAAAAAGATGAAGGATCATAAACTGTTCCTCCTTGCCAATGTGGTTTGATTGAACACGTGTTTTGGATTTTGGACAAGAATCACTCATCGCAGAAAACACTGTTCCCAAGTCCAGTCCACTTCCCAGTCGGAGTGAGTCCAGGTCGTGGTCGAACCAGTATGAGGGATGCAATGAAATCTTGAACAAACATTCGAAGGGGTGCTGAAAACTTCGACCAAACCGTCTGCCCCCCCCAAAAAAAACATCATATGCCGCATGGCCACCCCAGAAACCTATGTACATGCATTCCCTGTACCCAGCATCACAGTCTAGCCCCCAACGCCATTCCTGTTCGTCACATCATGTACCTGGATCATCCTGTCTGTTTGTCCAATAGACTACTGTACCCTCCACTGCTAGACTGGGACCTCCAGACAGGATGATCCTGGTTCAGCTCGGCCCTCCCAACCTGAAAGCCCTTGACGCGCTGGAAGCTTTCGGTGAGGACGCCATACGAGTGGAAGTTCAGAGTGGAATTTCCTCGGCAACGCCCAAACCGCGCGACCCAGGATGGAGAAGCTTCCTGTGAGGATAGCGATGGCCAGGAGGGTGTGTCAACACCACGGTGTGTCTTCTGAAAGCTGTGCGGCGAAAGCTCTCTCACTTTAGCATTCGTGGGTTTCACGTCGGCGAACATAGGTCTCGCGACATACATTGTTTGTCAGAACTTTTGCTATCTTCACCCAAAACATACCAAACCCCCAACCCCGCCCAAGCCCCAAAAGGTTGCACCCCCCGGGCAAAAACGAGGCGAATCATAGCTGCCTCCATGCCGTTCGGGTGAAAACAAGCGGACCGTTGGTCGACGTTCTGCTGCGTCTGGTGGCGATATCATGAACACTCTAAGCGTTGCCATGCCCCTAAGACTCAGACCTGCAACACACGCAACAAACACCTGCATATACAGCAGTTTAAGACATACTCAGCATATGTCCAGCCGACCTTTTTCAGACGACCTATAGCTGCGTCCCAGCGTTGCCCAAACCGAACGAGCGACCTATGTCCGGCTCATGTCCCAGCTACATCGGAGTTCTTGAAGTCAACCAAAAAAAGACTTAACATGTTTAAAATATGTGTTAAATTATTAAAGCTGTGGTTGACTTCAAGGAACAGCAACTTATAGGATTTGGGGTTGGCCATGGTCAACATGTGGTCAACCAAACTAGCGAACCCCCCCAACTGACGGGGGCTCCGCGGACTGGCGGTTCTGCCCAGTGTCTCCGCCCCAACTCGAGGAAAACCTCGGCGGCCGTGGAACCATCCAGGGGACTGACCGGAGGGACTGGATGGATCGACCTGCCCACCGGGAAGGAAAAGGAAGGAAGACATGGTCCAACTCAGAAGGGAATTCACCCTAGGGAAAACACGAATCACCTTAAATTCAAATACCCTATAAGCAAAACAAGGCCATCCATGGATTCAGCTAACAATCAACCATCTTGGACTTCTCACCGTGGCCAAATGGGATGAAATGGTGATGCTGACAACTGAATTCCGACCCCACCTGGGAATAATACGTCCATGTTAACCATTAGTTGACGCACTTTTGGCACCAGTTGGGGGGGAGTTTTTTTTTCAACGGCATGGGGCTCCCAAAGCAAAGCAGAAAACATAAGTTAGAAGGCACTAGCTATTCGATTGCAATATAAGACTATCAGGGATTTCGGGGCTAGGGCATGCTCACCAACATGAACCCCAATCCGCTGGCCCCAGCCCAGGCGATTCACATCCTTCACATGTCCATGCTCCGAGGACCCAAAAACAGATCAAAAGGCAAAATCGTGCGGTACAAGTAGAACATTCATGAGTTAACTCCAACCAAAACAAGAATTGGTGCCAGGATCACGAACATAGAATGGCAAGAGCTTGCCAGGGCCCTAAAGAGATCGAGTCTAGCCTATCTGCGCAGAACCACAATCACTCGTGAAACGT